AGGATTAACCGTGCATGCCTGACCTTGAAAAAATTCAGAATTTCCTATCGCTCACACATGAAGAAAAAATCACTGTCAGTCAGTCAGTCGGCCATGGCATGTGATGATGACATACTGGCTGTTCTTGAATGTTTATTGGCAACAAATTCTATTAAAACTCGTGGGAAAAAACATGCGCATAGAAGTCTAATGTGTAAATAGTAGTAGTGGTGGTTTGGATAGCACTGATCACAAAATTAATTTTTCATATAAATAATTTTTTAATGGAATTATTTCAGATCACAAAATTAATTTTTCAAGAAAAATCTTGGGCTATAGATTCTGTTAAAAAGCATCAATTATCAATGAAAGATCAATGGCAAGTCGATTTTACTACCAAAAAAATTCATGGATTAAATTTTATAGACGAATATATATTAATAATTCTCAACCACATCCGATATTAGTACAAATTGTAAACATTATTATCGCAAATTAATTTTATAATTTAATAATTAAAAAGAATTTATTAAACTTTGTCTTATTTTAAGTTGTCATGTTTTAATTTACTTGGATATTAAAACAATAAATTTTTTAAAATGTAAAAGAAAATGAGATAGAGTATCAAGATGTTTTATGAAAACAGAAGAAATGAATTGAGAAGTTTTCTAAATATTAAAATTATTTATAATTTTAATTTACTCAAGAAATTTTTGATCTGAAAATAATTTATAACCTGAAAAATTAATTTTCAGGTTATACATAATACAAGTTAATAATGTTATAGAAAATAATTCTTCCAAACATTCACGAGACATTGTTCTCACTACTCAGTGGCCTCGTAACTGAACGACACGACATGACACGGCACACACGTTAAGGTCAGCCTACGCTGTCCAAAACTGGGCAGGAAAATCAAATGGTTTTTCGATTCTACTCCAGTGGTCTGTACAGTTCATCGAAACTATTCAGTTTTCCCCCACACTACCAGGAATTACTCAAGGTCAGGCATGCACGGTTAATGTGTACGGGCCTCTTAAGTCAAATTTAAGGTCAGTCTCATGAGGTCATAAAAATTACAGTACATGTTACCTTCATATTAACCAACTGAACAGCATGATTCCCATATTCTGGGGACCAAAATATGCATCATATAGTATTACACATTAACCAATATATCGTATAAACTAAACAGCTTTACATTAAAATCCCTGTCCTTGCTCATGGGACCAAAAAATGATCTCATAATAAATGGGACTTTGTATAATTCAATCTCAGATAAAGGAGGTTTACCATACAATATATCATATCCACGTAGTTATGCATGTTAGATATTTCAAAGTATTACATATTCTTTGACTTATAAACCTTTCATTTTATTTTTGGATTTGTTTTCACATATTTATTCCTTTTAGTTGCATTTATACTTTGATGATATTTATTCTGTACTCCCATTGAGTTTCATATATTAATTTTGATGTTAGCAAGTTCAAATTCTTCTTAAAAATTTTTCATTTAACATTTCATGCAACAAATAGCTAATAATATCCTATATTGCCAGCAGTACACAAACACTTTTTATTGGTGAAACCTGTATTTCTATGCCAATCAATGTTCAAAATCAGATTTTTCTTAGAACAATCTATTAATTGTGCCATTTTAGTTTTTGTCATTACTGTTGAGTAAACTTATAATTTTTTTTTACAAAAACTAAAAATGATGAGCAAAAATAATTATTTTTCTTTATCATTTGATAAATCTTATCATGATTTTTTAAACTTTGCAATGTAATTTAAGCATTGAAAGTACAGTAGAACCTCGATTATCCGGACTAATTGGGGATGAAGGTAGTCCGGATAAGGAAAAATCCGGATAATCGAAACAAATACTTTAATTTGTCTTTTAATGATAATACAACACATTTTCTTTTCGATGACATATCGGTAATATTAAAAGTAAATACTGTATTTAAATCGTGATCAAATTTTCAAGAAACAAACGTTCGTATTGAATTTGGACTACTACTGACCAACGCTAACAGACTACCTATTGTTTAAAAGGCCCTCTGGTGGCGCAAGAAGACGGATTTTATAAAATAAAAAGCAGTTGAAACTGCATTTTTATGAATAAAAATTTGACAAACTATTTATCGTTTTATGACGAGTAAAATTTTTTCGTCGCGTTCGCGGCTTTTAAGTAATGCATAAACCTTCGAGGCGCGAGGCCCTTCGGACCGCGAGGCATAGGCGGTGGCCCACGTCGTCCATGCCTTACGCCGCCCTTGGTCATAGAAATGATGTAATTTGAATATAAATTATTTATAAATACGTATGTCAAGTTATATTTTTATTACTACGTAAAATATATTTAAGAGTTTACGACCACTGTGCTGGGTGAGATGTTGTTGAAACAAAAAAAGTTATGCATTCCGTCACGTACATAAACAGTGTCGTAATTCGCCAAGTGCAAATCAGGAAATTCGTAAAATTTTTGTTTATTTTGAACAATCCGGATAATCGAAAATCCGGATAATAGAGGTCCGGATAATGGAGGTTCTACTGTAATGGGTTTTCTTGAATGTAAATAAATCAAAATTCAAATAATACTAAAAATTATATCTTAAATATAACATTGACAAAATTCACTTGATAATGTTATCCAAAGTTGACAACATTTTTTACCAGAAGTTAACTATATCAGTTTTGCAAGATGGTAAATGTCCAAATTAAAGGATTAACAAAAATAAGTTAACATTATGTTGTTGCAACAATAGGAACTTAAAAGTTTATATTTTAGATTTGGGACAAATTATTAGGACAACACAGTATGAAAAATGTTTTATTAAAAGAAATTCCATAGTTCTATTGAACTATGCATAGTTTGAAGCAAAAGTCATTTTTTCACTTATTCTCCAATCATTTTCATGAATTTTATCTCAGCATTAGGTTTTTGTATAAGATACCAATTTTACCAAACCAGTATTTTTCTTCTGTCATTTTTGACAAGTTACAACTTGTTATTAATATATTTTGCATACTTATATATTTTACTCTTTGTAATTATATTGCTTATCATTCAATAAGTGTTTTTCACTTTTTAATGTCTTATTCTCATTAAATCAGAATCTTATTTTCATTAAAGTTCTTATGCTAGGAAATGCAAGGCTTAAGTAAATGTTTCCACATGTCTCCCTATCTAAGTGAGCCCAATTACCAATTGCTAATGAGCATTTCCATCATTAACTATTATCAGATTAGATTAATATACAACTTTTCAATTTTTATTTAAAAATTATTCTTATATTCACTATAAGAATAATTGCTTTTAAAGATTAATTTTTGTTATTTCTCATGTTAGTGTGTAAACAAAGTAAGATTTGAAAAAAAGATCACCATATTAACTTTACCTGATGATGATAATTTTGTGGAGCCAAAAGAACTTTTAGCTCCTTTTTTCCTTTTTCAACTACTTGTATATCTTCTTACGAGTCATGTTGGTTTAACTGTCACTATCTCAGGTAATTATATAAACCATTGTATGCATATCCTAATTTTTTCAATGCATTTTGTAAACCTGTAATCAATTTACTGATAAATATGTAGTAATAGGACTGAAGAGGGGCGTAAGCCTGAAATGCATATCCATTCACACCAATAAAACAACCTTTTTCCTCTGAAAGTGTTCCTGTGTGATATGTTCTCAACAGCAACATTGTGCTAAGAAAATACATATAATAGAGAACAAGAAGCAACCAAGATGGTAATTTTAACTTGTCAAAAATAATTATGGCAGCAGAAAGTACAGGCATATAATGTTTAAATTTAAATGTTATTTAGTGTCAAAAGAAAGTCTTTTACGTTATTTAATGCATTACTTTGACCATAAGTGTCATATTTTTATTCTACTTCTCATGTGAGAAGTAGAGTAAAAAATACAACACTTAAGGTGACAGGTTTTACCACTGATAATCAGTAATATAATGTTGAATTTTGACTCATTCCAAAAACTTTATCAGATAGTTGCTGCTTTTTTTTGTTTTGTTCAATATGATGAGAGAGGAAGCATTTCATCCTAAAATGTTTTGTAATTTTTCCATATCTTTTACTTACCAATAAAATGGAGATACTTTGAATTAATTTTACTTTTAGTAATTGCTTGTTTTAATTTTTAGAACAAACTTTTTCCAAAAATAAATGCATTTAAAAAAAATTCATTTATCATCTCTGAGAAGTAAGTTAACTTTTCTAGAAATCATAAATTTTTCTCATTCTTAAAAGTGAGTAGATTTTTATTAAATATTAAAAATATACAAGTGAGTTGCATGAATCAGAAGAAAATGTGATTCATGGATTTCTACATGACTCATTTTATCCATTACAAATATATTCATGTTACATAAAAGCAGTTATAAGTAATTAATAGGGTAAAATGAGTTAATACAGAGCATTAATTCATAAGCTAAAACATCTAAGTGCTACATGTATCTATTACTGAAACTGATATGTTTTCAGAGTTCAGAATCACTCAAATACCAAGTTTTATAATGTATTATCTATGTTTTGAAACAACAAAGTTACATTTTTGAGTGTATAATATAAATTTTATGCATTTTTCATCAATGTATTAGTATAAAATATGTAAATTATTTGAAATTATGTCATACACACTTTAATTTGTAAAATTTCAAGCTAATAAACTACAAAATATTAAACACATCAAATCATATAATTGTAAATTACATATACAGTAGTAAATAGTCAATGATCAAAAGTCTATCCAATTTCAAAAAATCATACAATATCTTATCTGCATCCCTTCCATTTATCATGAACTCCTTTATGTTTATGAACAGAAAAAAAATGTTGAAAATGTTATTTGATTTACTTTCAGTCAAGAATAATACTTTGTTTATCAAAGATCATTTGTAATTTCAAAATGAAACATTCAAAATATATTAATTCCTTGTCATTTCTTACAATTCCCAGATTTAATAATTTTAATTTATAGTACTTGTTACTCACCCTGATAAAGCATTTTTAAATTTTAGCCTTAAAATATCTTCCACAATTCTATTATTTGTTTCCAGTAATATCATTTTCTTACTTTCAGATTTACCTTTCCTGAAAGGGAGTTGCCAAGTCTCTCTTTACCGGATATGACAACATTTATGCATTTGCGACCTCTGGAGGAAAAATCACTTCTAAAAAGAAAGAAAAAAATCATATAATATTTGTTATGGAGTTTATAATAGAAAGTATAATTATTTTAGAGAAATAAGATTAAAACCCAACATTAATTCTGTATTATTTTTAGATTTTAGCTTGGAACTCTTCATCATTATTGTAACCACTAAAATCTGGCTCTGTCTCCTATCACTTGGCTTCTCCCATTGTCGCCCTAGCCGTACCCAAGCTAGGTATAAGGGTGCGACTATGCAGACGCGAGCGAGCGAGAAATATGTGGCGAGAAGAGGCGAGACGCAATAATTATCAAAACCTGTCAGATATGTACGAGAACCAGAAATTCGCTCTCGCTTGCGTTATTACTCGCTTCTCGTTTGTGCATGGTTTTCCTTTGAGAAAACTAAATCGCTCGCAACCTCTCGCTCGTTCTAAATTCGCGTCTGCACTGCATAGTCGCACTCTAAGACTTAAACTCAAAATTTGCATTGATTTCCTTAAATTTTCGTGGTTTCAAAAATCTGCTTTTCCATGGAGTATTATGCGTTCTTTTTCTCAAGTTAATAAAATAATGATAAGAATAATACAGGAAAACATTTTCACCTATATACATTTAATCGTAAAACAATGATGGTCCGAAATTGGATATGATGCTTAGTGCGTATCGGCGCGGTGAGAACTTGGATGAGTTCTTTTATTCCTCCGCGTAACTCCGCGCGAGCGGCACCTTTTAAAAATTCCTGCAGAACGCGTTCTTATATTCCGGCCGGAGTGCGCGCCGTCGGACGGCACAAACGGCCGCTGATAGTCGTATCAATAGTTTACGATGGAAAGCAACATGGCGTCCTTCATGGCTCATGGCTCATAGTTTCGTTTCGGAGTCCAATATGTGGTTTTATGAATGAAAATTTAGAAGTTATAAAAACGCAAGTTAATGCACGCGATGATGTGTTTTCTCGAATTTTTTCCAATGGTAGCCGGCATTCTAAGGCTTTTTTTTTCGTGGCTACTTTGAATGCTCTGTCGGCAAGATAATCTATTTTATGGTTAAATTTTTACAATTGGAATCCTTCTTTTGTCTCTAAAAACTCATATTTTAAAATTGTAGATCCCTTCATTAATAAAGTTACCTTTACTGAAAACGTGCTGGTACTTATAATTTAAAATAGTCATTATCATTTGAATAAAAGTAATTTGTGATGTGTGTTGATATATCTTTGTCCTTTACCATATATAACTAACTCCTCTCGGCAGTCGTCTATGTATTGTGTTGATTTTTCCCACCAAGCCATAAATTAAATACATTGCCATTCATTACACTGTATACAAACAAAAGAATTACAGTACTTTGCAAAGTTAACCATACGATCACACACTGAAACCCTGGAGCAAGTAGAAAAAGTATTTGAATTTATGATAGAGTAAGAAATATGTCGCCCACCTAGAAGTTAGTATTTGGTTTATTCAGATATGGCAACGCGATACATGGGCGAAAATATTTCTCGGAAAATGCCTCCCGAGAGGTATTTTATAGGAAACTGGTTCCTGATTTTTTCGTAATATTAGACGTAATATAAACAGAAATTTTTCCAGTTCAACGAGACTGACCGAAAAGTTGTAAATTTTGGAAATTTCCATGGACACCTGGTCCTAAAACGAATTACTTAGAAAACAAACGACTTTTAAGTTTAACATATTTAGATTTTTACAGCTATGGCGAGAAACGTTTAAAATCTACAACAACCCTGTCAGGTCCTTTGAGATATACTAGTGATGCGACAAAAGAAGCATTTGACATTGACCGGTATCGGCACCCTGGGGATTTGGTAGTCCGCGTGTATGCACGCTCTGGTCGCGTTTCTTTATGCAGCGCTCGAGAAGCGCTTTACAGCGAACCCTCTGAAACCCGTTTCTAAATGCAGAGCTGCAATGTAGCGAACCGTTTCTAAACTATGATGCAGCGACGTGTAGCGATAGCTGCTCGTGACGTCATTTACACTGCGCTCTCGCTGCATAAAGAAACGCAGCCTCTTCAACCGTCTTCGATTCCATCCATTAGCCACTTGTAGAGAGCTATTTGACTAAGGGCAGGCTGCTAACAGCCCAGGAACGGTCCTGGATAGAATTAGATGCGGTATACGTGTAGCATCCACCCAAGGTCCTAGGCTTCAACCAGATAAACCGGGTGAGGTTGGTGCTCTGTAAAGCGCATGCGCGAATGTGGCTTTTTTGGATGCTGACAATACAGCGCTTCCATTCCGCCACTAATATTCGAATATACAATAGCAATCTTATTTTTTTTCCACGTGTAGTAAAGAAATTTGTAATAAGATACACAATGCGGTTATATAAAATATTCTGTGATTATTTTCATATAATTAAAATTAATATGTATTTATTTTTTAGAAAATACAAGGGAAGCGGCGCATCCACCGTTTCCAATGACGGCACGCCACTGCTAGTATGAAGAAAACCTGGAAAATTCCACGAGGCCAGTCCATTGGTGAGGTGCGAACCCACGACCAGTGTTCATTGGTTTTATCCACTTGGCTATTGATAGACCGTTAGTGTGTTTAGGCACGGTAACTTGCCGATTAAGATTAGACTGCTTATATCCGGATAGTATTTTAGTAATGAATAGAACTAAGATTGCTCTTTCAATTAGCTTGACTGCATTCTGTGAGAAGTTGTTTGGTAGTCCTTAAGTGGTAAGATTTATTACAGCATCAATGAGTCTCTGTCGTTTTAGATTGATTAGTAGCCCGAATTGACAACTGTGCAATAATAGACCGCTATGTAAAATTTCTTCTTGTCCCAGATTCAGGTTTAGTAGTTTAGACCATAAATCTTGATTTTTGGATTTGTTTGCTGCATACAATTCCAAAAGATTGGTGAGGTATTGTTTATATTCCTCTTAATGGGAATACAGGACATATCATTCCAATTGTCGAATGAATATTAATATTAACAGTTCGTTATTTTGTCGTAACAGATTAGTCGATGACTGACAGAAACTTACGTATTATTTAGATATAATTATTAAAAATTAACATGGGACGATGTATGATGGATAAAACCTATCGCCAACTCCTCGAGGTGCCCATTGGAAACAATGACTTTCAGGTAATTGGCCAACAGTGAAGGTGTCCAATGACAGGTGGAGCGACATTCCGGCTGGACTATTACTAGCCGCATCAAATATTAACGTATAGAAATTTATAATTAAACAATGCTAGAGCATTCCCCATAGGCGATGCGTGCTATCCCCGTCCGAGCTACGCAATAAATTTGCAAGGGCGTCCAAGGACTGGCAGCCCTTGCAAATAAAGAAGCAAGCCATCAAATCAACCATCGAATAACAACTATCACTGACTGCAAGAAGCCGAGAACTAGATGAAATGCTGAAGGCCTGCCGCAGTGATATTGCCTGTGCCTAAGAAATAAAATCGAGGGGAGCAAAGGCTCGAGAGATTGGCGAAAGATACAGGCATTACTATAATGATGAAAACAGTGCTCTGAGTAGCATTGGTATCATGATCAGTGAGAAATATTGAGTTAACGTAGTCGGAGTGTACCGAATGTCAGATCAACTCATGTCATCAAAATTGAGTCTGGTACAACCGCCCTTCAAGTTATCACATGTATGCCCCCAAACAGGATGTCCTGCAGACAAAAAGAATGAATTCTGGGAAGGAATGGATACTTACCTACGAACTGTCAACCCTAAAGAAAACCTGATACTGGGACATAGCCGCAACGGTCATGTTGGATCATCGAGAGCTGGATACAATCAGTGTCATGGAGAAAATGTATTAGACATTCGTAATGGCAATGGAAACGGTATCTTAGACTGCGTGGAAGCAAATGAACTTGTGGTAACCAACACTTTTTTCAAGAAAAGACAACCAACCTCATCACTTATGCTAGCAGTGGTCACATACCCAAATCGACTATCTGCTCATCAGAAGACGAGCTATCCCTTCAGAAACAATCGCCTCTCCAATATCGACCTTTCGTCATGGACTTAAAACTGGACATTCGGGGCTCAAAGCGGCCCGAATTACTGGAGCAGAACGAATAAAATAGTGGCGCTTACCAGAATGCAAAGTCCAGCTCTTGGACGACCTTATTGGACGTCCCTATTGGACGTCCTTATACGTGGACGTGTATTGTCCAGTATCAACCATTTGGGATGATTTAGTTGCGCAAGTCAATGCTGTGGCAACTACCATCCTTGGGAAGATCAAGACGGAGTCATTGACAAGCAAATCGGGTGGTGGAATGAAGTAGAAATGGCTATAAAGGAGAAGAAGAAAGCATTGAAACAGTGATTCCAGACAAAGGCAGATGATGATCTCAAACGTTAAATAGTGGTAAAATCAGCAGCCAAACGCCAATGGCAGCAAGTAAAGCTGCATACTAAGACTATGTATACAAAGAATTTGACCAGTCTGCAGGGGAAAAGAAAATTTACCGTCTGGCCAATGCATGTCATCAAAAAATCCAGGAAATTGGTACGTCAAGCATGTGAAAGACGAACATCAGCTCCTACGAGATCCACGTGCTATCCTTCATCGTTGGAATTTTTATAAAATCGGCAATGACGAATTTAATCCTCTTTCCCACTAATCCAAACCCAGTGCTGACCCAGTTCTGGGTCTATGCCTCCAATCACCATTTAGGAGGGGGTGAGGAAAATGAAAAGTGGGAAAGCAACTCGGTTCCCTCAGTATTGTATTGTATAACAGTATTGCATTATAAATGTCTCGGTAATACGGTAATACGGTAATACTGATCAGGCAATACGGACAACTCTTTATTCATACACGACTGAACACTGGTACTGTACATCTCACTGGCTCCCTGGAGCTTCAAACATGGCGGTCTCGTTTTCCTGCCACCTTACACTCGATTCGAGTTGCCACCTCCTGCGCGTATACATTAAATTTAATGTTTAATTAATTAAATTAATTAACATATATCCCCCCTTTTCTTTTTACTGATTGAAATCCAGATATGTCTTGGGATTCGTACTGGTCTGCCACTACGGGTTTTGGGAAGGTCCTTTCCATCCGGTGAGGAATTTTCGATGATTTCTGGTGTTGGTTCATAAAGTTTCTTATTCTCGATCCTTTCCCATTCTCTGTTCTGTTCCTCAGAAGTATTCTGGTTGATCCGGTCCAGTCGATTTCACTTCACCGACATTTTGTGGTTCGCATTGCCCGGAGAATATGTGGGGAATAGACGATGGCTGCAAATGTATTCTGTTCCTGCAGAACGTGCCACTTGGTGTTTCAATGATGTAAGATTGTGGAGTATGGTGAACCTCCTTCACTTTTCCATATGTTCGCATATCTGAAGCTGTCCTACCTTCAAACGTGAAAGATTTTTTGCACCGTGGCGTCGATCAAAATAGGTTTTCTGTTTACCTGCATTTCCCTTCCCCTTTACTGAGGCAAAATCAATCAAACGAGGTATCAATTGTTGATTGCTTTATGGCAGGAATGTTCTCAATCTTTGGCTCATTAACAGTTATGCCATTTTCCAATGGTGCTGATCTCATTGCCAGCAGCATTAAATAATGATCCTACGACTAAGATTTCAAGTAATAACTTTTAAAATTTTTTACCAGTGATTCAATAAACCCATTGTTTTGGAGTTATCTTGGATTAGATGTGATACTTGAAAATTTATATTTTTCTGTTTATAAATTTACGGTATTCTGAGTCAATAACAAAGTGTCGTGACACCTTGACCGGTTGACCCGAGATATTTCGTTTCAGCATCGACAGTTTTTGAAACTATATGGAGCCATATTTGGAGCTATATATATATATGGAGCTATATATTTGGAACTATTTTTTTTACTCTTTCTGCCCTGTGAGCGCTAAGAAGGCCTGTGGGCTAAGGGGGCCCACTTATAGCAGGCCCATTATGGGTTCGGGCAGACCTACAATAGGGCGACTGGGTGGTGAGGGGCGGGGCCCGACAAATTTGAGCGGACCACCCCCTGAAAAATTCCTGGGGATTCCTTGACCCGTCCGCATTCGAGCCCGGGTCCCCCAGAGCGGTAGGCTGCTGCCTTGACCGCTCGGCCGTCCGGCCTATTATATTATAACTAACATCCGAAATATAACTTTTTTCTTTTTACATTAATATATATATATTTTGTGCAAAATAAAAAATAATTTCGGACGATACAATAGCCACGATTATTTTTTTCAAAAAACGGGAAATTTTCGTTAGACATCGACAAAAATTCAACCCCGGGCGTCATGCAATAAAGAGAAATTTCGACATTGGATAAGTTAATTTCACCGAAAATGCATGGTGGACGACCTCGTGGTCGTATTCGTGGCCGTCGTTTCAAAATCTTGAAAAATTGTTGAGTTTATTGATGATATTACAAGCTTCCAATGCATCTGTTGAGCGAATATTTAGTCAGCTACGTTTGTGTAAGACATCACACAGACATTCTTTGAAAACTGAAACGATTTGTAACCTAATGCATGAACAGTCTGGCATTAAAAAAAATATATGTTGTTTCATTTGAACCTTCAAAACGAATGTTAAAACGCAAATATATATGTAAATAAATGAATTTTTAAAACTGATCATTTACGTATTAAAGTATGTTTGAAATCAAGTGAATGGCTTATTTAATTTTCTATCTTCAGCTAAAATACACAACACATGTTGAAAGGGAACGATTTAAAATTAAGTTAAATAATTGCATTCATTAGACTTATGGATATATTTTATGGTTATTTAAAAGACCAGGCTAGATTTTCCTCGTTTGTCAAATTGGGATTACCAAAATAAAACATCAATTATCTCCGTAACAGATGTAAATTAATACCTCTGATAAAGCCTAAAAATCCTAAGACATTTTAGTTATTAAGATTTTTAAAAACAATGAATTAAGAATTGTTCTGATTATTATTTTACGATAATAGTACAAAAATTTGCATCATAGAACTGTCTTTCTTATTTTTTTTATCCGAGTTTGGATAGTTTTCTCAATCTAGGGTAAAACGAAGGCGCCGTCAGGGTAGTTCCACCGGAAGCAGGCGACAACACCGGCCTTGTCCCAAATACGGCAAGGCCGTATTTGGGACAAGGCCGGTGCTGTTTCGTCTTGAAACGAAGCAGGGAAATCCCACGTTTTTAACAAGACTATATAGAAGTTACGAAATTCTCCAATGTTTTCCCCCCCTTCTTGAAACCGAGAATAGAATTTATATCTTTCGTATATAACGTTTTTAGTTGGATTTCAGAATTGGGAACATTTCAGTTGTTTATTTTCGTTAAAATAGAAATAACAGATGAATATAAGAGACATGTTTTATACTTTTTATTTTTAAGTGATGCGAATGCTACAAATGCAGCCAAAAAATTAAATACTGTTCATAATCAAACTGTAATTAGTGTAAGGACTGCGCAGAAGTGGTTTGAAAGATTTAGAAATAATGATTTTAGTGTGGAGGATAAGGCTCGTACTGGAAGACCCGTTGACTTTGATGATGATGCTCTCTCTGCACTAGTTGAAGCAGAACCATCTTTAACAGTTGATGAAATTGCGGAACGTTTAAATTCATCCCATGGAACTGTTCATAGACATCTACAACAAATCGGAAAAGTTTCAAAGCTAGGAAAATGGATACCACATGAACTGTCAATAGCTAACTGACAACAACGTCAACTGCTCAACTCAAAAGCTTCAACTGGGAAATTTTACCTCATCCACCATATTTGCCAGATATTGCTCCCAGTGATTATCATCTTTTTCGGAGTTTGCAGAATTTTTTAAAAGGAAAAACTTTTGAGGATGAGAACAATGTAAAAAAGGCTATTTCTGAATATTTTGATTCAAAACCGAAATCATTTTACGAAGACGGGATTAAAAAGCTACCATCATGATGGCAAGAAATTGTACAAAATAATGGTAAATACATTATAGATTGAAATAAGATTTAATTAAAATTTTTTTGTTGCTTTTTTTGTAGATAAAAATACGCACGAACTTATGGACTGACCTGATATTTCTCGAATGCCGCCTTAAACTTGGAATAGTCATTTCTATCCTCTTCTGGGAAACTAAATGAGGCCAAAATTTCCTCGGTTTTCTGTCCCAATAAGTATGTTAAAGAATTTACCTGGTCAGCTTCTTATTATGGAGTTCAGACATTGTTAGAAATCGTTTGAATCGCCCCATCCATGTTCTTCAATCTTCGCTGCTACCACGTATTATAAATGTATCGGTAATACTGATCAGGTAATACGGACAACTCTTTATTGACACACCACTGAACACTGGTACATAGACAATAAGATTAAACTAATGATCATATGTGGTAAACTTTAATAATTCCATTAAAACAAATTTTAAATAAGAATAGTGAAAATGTATTTTCTTGAGAAGCAATATGTCTAAAAGAAGATTACGACAACGGTACGATAGACAATATTTAAATCTGAAATAAACTTATAGATCAAAGTACTATTGAGAGTAGTGAGATGAATAAATAAGAACAATCCATTCGAAATAAAATACCCAGAATATAGATCTGTTAACCTTGTAGATAGATATCATTTTGAAACCATCAAAACGTGTTCGGAATAATGCGTGTATATCTAAGAACGATTTGGCGTGATTGGTTGATATGCAAGTATCAACCAAAAGTTGGCGTGATTTGATTGATATGCAAGTATCAATCAAAATGTTTTCAAATATTGTTTTTTCTCACGAAAACAATACTGCACTGTACATATAAACACGAAACTGTAGATAAACAGCATCAGCAACCGGTTCATGCAGGAGTAACGAATAACAGGTTAGATATCTTAAGAAATAATTTAATTAACTACTTAACGTATTAACATAGGCCTGTGTAGAAGAAATGATTATTTAGTTTATATTTTCGAGTTGAAAACAGAAATAAAATAAAATCTTTTTATTGAATGGTATTTAAAATTTAGTTCTAGCAAATAACTAGATCTACACGACAGACAACGACCATTTGATAAGTTTTAATTTTATTCGATGATGTTTTAGAAACGTTTTCCTCTAATATTAGTTTTAATGTATTGTATTCTCTATATAATCTCCTCTGTAACATTATTACATTATATTATAAATATCCTACAATGTTATTATGTTTGGAATTATCTGTGAAATATTTTGTATATCTCAAGAATAGTTCCTAATTAAATTGATAAAAATTGGTGTAATAAAATATAATGCATTTTCATAGAAAAATATATGTTTGTTAATTTGTTTTAATGTATTTAATATTATTCTTTATATAAGATTATGAGGCTTTTCCTCCGCTCGCTTCGATCGCTCGCCCCACGGACTTCGCCCATTTGTTCAAAAATTTCGTGACGATTCATCGATTGTCATTGCCACCGTTTGTATTTTTCTCCCACCGTGATGAAAAAATGTGTCCTCACCATTTTAAGCTAATTATTTTTTTTATATATACTCGTGTAGAGTAGCTACATCTTGTGATTACCTCAATTTAATAGATAAGAAAATTAATTATTTATACCGTAATTATTAAAAAAGACACTTTATTTTATCGTTAACTAAATTTAAATCCTTTAAAATTGTTTAATTTAAAAAAAGAAAAAGACATAATTAATAGCATTTTGCATAAGGCCATTTATAGACAAAATCAATTAAAGCCGCATGTTAGTTTATGAATAATGTAAAACAGATAAATATAAAACAAATTTCATAATTAAATTATAAATAACGAAAAACAAATTTTTGTTCATTTAACGGATGAATTTGTTAAGATGTTATTCGAGATGGCGACTTTAATTCTACTGCGATGTGAATGTTTTCGTCTGTTAATTTTTGATCATTATTTATTACTTAGAGAAAAGTCTATGATCACTGAAGTGTGCCACGTTGCTTTTAATTAATAGTAACTTAAAGATCACAAATGAAACTACAGTAGGCCTATGTTAACCTTTTATTTTATGAATATTCTTTTTATTTTGAAAACATTGAAAGATATATGTTCTCTTGATCTGTTTTAATATTTACTTTTTCGTTGCATACTTTTATCTTTTAATTCACATTTACGTGGTATTTTAAAAGCTTGTACATAAAAATTATAATTCGTAAAATACGTTTGATTATAGTAATTTACATTGTAAGTAATTATTATAAGTGATTTTTTTCAGATTAAAATTCTTTAATTTGATGATTGGATCGAAACATCTTGAATACTTTGCACCGCACATGATCAAAATACAAATGACCAACGAAAAAGTAGTTTGATTTGTGGAAAGTTCTTAGAAATGAGGATGCTTTTTCGTTGCTCTTTATGTTTCTTACCAAATATATTTTTATTTATATT